ACCGAAGACAGCTGGGGCCCCAGGGCCTGCCATACCTCATAGCAGGTAGGAACTGATTACCCACACCCTGATTGCCTTGTACAGCCAGGTTTGTCCAAGACCCCTCCCATACTGGCTCGTGCTTTAGTTCCTTCCCCAAATTTCGCCTCCTATCGTCTCCTCAGACCTGTCCAAGAAGCAGGGGCCGTGGATGCAGGAAGAAGAAGAAGCCTATGGATGGATGGACTTTGGTCGTCGTAGTGCCGAGGAAGGGGACCTACGTCCCTAGAACCAAACTGCAGAGCCCAGCCACATCCCACCCCTCCTTAATCCTCTCCTGTGCAAATAAAACAATAAACTAGCTTCCAACCGACCATCAGTTTGTGCTAGGTGCCCTGTGCAGGGAGGGGAGCTGAGCGCCCCCTGGAGGCAGGGACCAGAATGAATTATTTTCCAAGTCTCCAGAGAGCAGCAACAAACAAGAATCTACTTAGGTGGGCAGGGGAATAGGTGGGGTTGGAACTGTCTGCATCCAGAGAAAGCCTTTTAAATGATAAATCAAAAAGCTGGCCAACAACAGCTCACACCTGTAGTCCTAGCGACTCAGGAGGCTGAGATCTGAGATTCAAGGTTCAAAATCCAGGCCAGGTAGAAAAGTCCATGTGATTCTTATCTTCAATTAACAACAAAAAAGCCAGAAGTAGAGCTGTGGTTCAAGTGGTAGGGCACTAGCTTTAAGCACATGAAAGCTCAGAGAGAGCACTTAGGCCCTGAGTTTAAGCCCAAAATAAAAATAAATAGGCAGGCATTGGTGGCTTACACCTGTAATCCTAGCTACTCAGGACGCTGAGATCTAAGGCTTGTGGATTGAAGCCAGCTCTCACAGGCAAGGCCATGAAACTCTTTTTTTTTTTTGGGCCAGTCCTGGTGCTTGAACTCAGGGCCTGGGCACTGTCCGTGAGCCTCTCTGTGCTCAAGGCTAGCACTCTACCACTTGAGCCACAGTGCTACTTCTGATTTTTTCTGTTTATGTGGTACTGAGAATTGAATCCAGGGCTTCATGCATGTTAGACAAGCACTCTACCACTAAGCCACATTCCAAGGCCGGCCATGAGACTTTTATCTCCAATTAACCACCAGAAAACCCAAAGTTGTACTCTGGCTCAAAGTGGAAGAGCACTAGCCTTAAGCAAAAGAGCTCAGGGTCAGAGCCCAGGCCCTGAGTTCAAGTCCCATGAATAATAATAATAATAAAAAAGTCAGGCACCAGTGGCTCATGCCTATAATCCTAGCTATTCAGGAGGGTGAAATCTGAGGATCATGGTTCAAAGCTAGCCTATGCAGGAAAGTCTGTGAGACTCTTATTTCCAATTAACCACCAGAAAACCAGAAGTGGTGCCATGGCTCAAGTGGTAGAACACGCATCTTGAGCTGAAGAGTTCAGGGACAGAGCCCAGGCCCAGAGTTCAAGCCTCACGACTGACCAATAAATAAAACCTTTCCTCCTTTAAGTTCATGTCTGATATTACAACACATCGACAAAGCACTGACACACTGGGCCACAGTGAACCCCACCTGGAGCCCTAGCCACTTGAATGGCACAAGGGGTGGCGTGGGAGACTGCCAGTGTCCTCCAGATCCTGGTATTCATCACTGGAACATGCTGGCCGTGTCCCATGGCAGCATGTCCCCTAATGAGGACTTCTCCTCTGCCCTCCCATGGCCAATGACAGTGTTGATAGCCCAGGTTCAGCCCCAGCCAGTGATGATGATCTGGAGAAAGCACGCCCCACCTCTCTTACTCTTTGGTGAGATGCAATGGGGTCAACATCCATGTGCATCCAGCCCTAACATATACAGAACTTACTGGGGATCATGATAATGGGCAGGTACTGAGTCTAGAGGAGAACCTAAGACTGTATTTCTTCTGCTGCTGCTGCTTTCCCTCTTCTTCTTGTATTGAGATTTGAACTCAACGCATGATGTTTGCTAGGCAGATGTTCTAGTACTTGAGCCATGTACTTGCCCTGAGATTTTGCATTTCTGATTCCCAGATGACAATGAAACTGGCCCACAGACCATATTTTAAGTTGTGACAAGAATTCCCAGAGGTTTCCAAGGCACTGAGTCTGGGTTCCCTAAAACTCCCTTCTCATTAGCTTCCTGTTCCTTCTCCGCTCCCACTAATTCCTGGGACTGTCTTCCGTATAGCCTAATGGTTCTGTCGCTCTGTCTATCTCTCTCCAGTACTAGGGCTTGAACTCAGAGACCTATCCTTCAGCTTTTTCAATCAAGGCTGGTGGTCTATCACTTGAACCATGTGACCACTTCTGACTTTTTTGTTGGCTGTGGGTCTTGAACTCAGGGCCTGGCACTGTTCCTGAGCTTTTTTGCTCAAGGTTAGCACTCTACCATTTTGAATCACAGTGATACTCCTGGTTTTCTGGTGGTTAATCGGAGATAAGAGTCTCACAGACTTTCCTGCCTGGGGTGGCTTCATACTATGATTCTCAGATCTCAGCCTCATGAGTTACTAGATTACAGGCATGAGCCACTGGTGGCCTGGCATCATTTCTGACTTTTTGCTGGTTAATTAGAAATAAGAATCTCATGGATGGGGTTGGAGGCATGGCTTAGTTGGTAGAGTGCCAGCCAATGAGCGAAAGCATCTGGTACCTAGTTCAAGTCTTGATCTCAGATTTAAAAAAACAAGTCTCACAGCATCCTCCCCCCCCCCCCCCCCAGGCCCAGGCTGGCTTTGAATCACCATCCTAAGATCTCTGCTTCCTGAATAGCTAGGATTACAGGCACAAGCCATTTGCAACCAGCACTCCTGGTTCTCAAACCCTGTTATAGGTCTGCTTCTGCCTATAAGACTGTGTGGCTATCTCTCTCTTTCCCAGGACACAGGGACAGAGTTCCCAGGACGACAGAATCAGGGAAGAGAGCACACTGCATGTACTTTAAGGACTCGAGTTCAACACCTGCACCATGACTATCTGTTAGATCCTTGGGAATGTCCCTGAACCTACCTGGGCCTCAGTGTCACCATCTGAAAAATGTTTATCACACCTACCCATCACCCAACAGGAGTGGATGGTATGTTATTTGTATGTCAGAGAAGTGCTTAGCAGTGTCCATCTCTCTCCACAATTTTATCTTTGCATCATGTGAGTATACGCACATATACACATACACCCATGTGTACACACACACACATACACACACAGCTCCTCAAGAAACATGGCTGGAGGCCGTTGTGTAGCACACAGGTCCTTTATTTCCTGCACCAGCACGTACACAGGCTGAGAAGCCACAAGACTGAGAAGCAGTGTGAGGAGTGTGGCAGGCACTCAAGGGGACTCAAGCCCCAAACAACAGCTTCTTATGAGCAAAGAAGTAGGCAAGGGAGACACATCTAGAACAACAAAACAAGGGGCACTGAGGAAGAAGAGCAAGAGGAAGGCATCATCAGGCCTTGGGTGAGGAACATGGACACTCACAAGCCATAGGTCTAGGCAGAGACACACCACTGGGAAGAGGGACCCCACACCCACCCACCCACCCACCCACAAACACACTTCTGGTTACACATGTTTAACAGGGACTTGAAAAGATGAGGAAGGGGGAGAAGGCCAGGTCTTTAGGAGTCCACAAGGACTTGGGGGTCATCTTGTACTTGGGGATCAAGTGTATGTTGTTAAGTGGATCCTCCAAACAAACTGCCTACCCTTGAGACCTGGTACCCAGTGCAGGCCATCACAGCCATGTCGGCGCTGGGTATGATAGCCAGCAGCCCTCCCCCTGGGTTGCGCCCATCCCCAGGGGTCACCAGGTGGCTCAGCAGCCCCAGCTTTTACACCGGCTGCAGAACAAGGGTCAGGGCTGCTTCAGCCTGTCCCAGAAGAGGGTCGAGGCTGGAGCCCTCTCTGACTTGGGCCTAGATTCACCAGGACGGAGGGCGGGCTGGTGCCAAGGGGTCCTGTTTCAGAGGAGAGGAAGGAGGGTCTGGGGTGGGTGGGACTTGGCCAGGCAGCGGAAGGAGGGGCCTCAAGCTGTCTGGGGGGGCCTCTGCAGGCTGCTGGGAAACAGCAAAGCCTGGAAGAGAAGGGGGTGGATGTGAAATGTGGCCCTGGTGATCACAGGCCTGGCCCAGGCAGCGAGCAGGGTCTGGCCAGCTGCATCAGAAGGAGATAGAAAGCCACCACCAGGGATAGTGGCACAAGTGAATGACCGTCAAGCCACAGACATCGGGATTCAGTGTACCACCTGCCCAACTGTGTACAGTGACCCAGCAGAGGTCAGAGGTCAATGCCATTCCACGCACTGGCACCAAAGGGCCATCCTAGTGAGAGCAAGCCTGATAGAAGGGAGGCTGCCGGAACTGGAGCTGGAGGAAAGGCCAGGCAGTAGGTTCTGTATATAAGCGAAGCCAGCTCAGTGTCAACAGCAGGGAACTGGCTCAGGACAACTCCTATCTGTGTTTCCTTAGACAAGTCACTTGAGCATTCTGATCCTCAATTTCCTTACTGCCTACCCAGGAGAATTTGAGGATCGAAATGGCTAACACCCAGGTAAAGGGTCTGATCCATCACTGGGTCATTTGGATTTCACCAAGAAAGCCGCAGACACAGAACCCAGGAGGCCTGCGTACAACAGGCCCAGCTCCCCAGACCTGGGCTTTCTAGCTGGGGAGACCCTGACCCATCCCACCACCCTTCAGGAGACCCTGACCCACCTCCACACTCACCCAGGGGACTGGTCCGACTGTGGCCCTTGCTGGCGGAGGCCTTCGTCCCAAAGGCCTAGGTAGCCCCAGAAGGCACCTCTTCCTCCCAGGCCTTGGGAGGGGGGCTGGCCCTCTCCTCCTCCAGCCTCGGGAAGTCCTGGGTCGGCACCCTGGGCTGCTGCTCCTCCATCCCGCCCCCCATGTTTGTTTTGGCCTGGGTCTGCCACTGCTGCAGGTTTGGGGAGCTTTGGAGGAGATAGGGGAGGTGGAGGTGAAAGGTAGGGGGAGGAGGCGAGCAGAGACAGAAACTGAGGTGTAGCAGGGGGGATGGGGGGGTGGATCCACTCCCAATCCTGATCCCCCTAGCCCAGCCCCCAGGAGAAAAGTGGATGGAGATCTGGACTTGAAGCCAATTCCACATAAGTGAGCATGGGGGCCACAGTTCCTACCAAGGGGGGACCTGAGGGACCTATGCAAATAGTACGCAAAGTCCATGCAAATAAGCACGCTGGGTGGGGCCGGGCTGGGGTAAGTGAGCCGCTCAACTACCCTCACCTCTCATCGGCTGGACGATCTGCAGCTTGTCCAGCTGGACGGAGGGAGGCCCCCACGGGAGCACTCACCTTTCTGGGCCACCTTCTGCTGCTGCTGCCGCTTACAATGGGCATCCTGCCAGTTGGCCAGTTGCTGGAGGACATACTTCATGTCCAGATGCGACGGGCCTAGGCCACTGGCCTCCAGGGCGGAGGTCACCACATTCATCCGAGTGGCCTCATCCACCTCTGGCTCCAACTCCTCCCAGGCCTCCGTGTCCTCAGACATCAGCTCTGACTCTTCTGCCAGCCCTTCCTCAGATGGCTCCCTCTCTTCTCTGGCCTCCAGCTCCTCCTCAGGCACCAGCTCCTCTGCAGGATCCATATCCGGTGGCAGCTTAAACCCCTGTTCAGCCCTGAACTCCTCCGGCTCCTGCTTCTGCTCCTCCCTATAGCGAAGGTTGCTGCATCTGGGCAGGAAGACAGTGACGCCTTTCCAGACCCTGCTGGGGGCTCCTAGCACCCTACTCTACTCCCCAGGGATTGTATTTCACCTCCACCGCTAGTTGCCATAGAAACAACCCATTCAGGGAAGTCCTGGGGAGCTCAATGGATTTGCCTGAGGATACACAGCCAGTAACGGGACCAGGCTAGCACAGAGTCCCAGATGCTCCCAGCTCCTAGGCCACCAGCTTCTCTTGGGTAGAAGGGCAATATCTGAAGGAAAGGGAGCAGGCCTTTCCCAGAACAACTCAGTTCAATGGGCCTAGAGAAGGAAGGCTTCCTGGGTTGTAGGACCATAGAAACAGCAGCTGAAAGGTGAGCCCCTGGCCAGCTTACCCCAGGTGCGAAGTCTGCCCCCCCCACGGGGCATCCCTTAATTCCTTAACAGAGACCAGGACCTTCAGCCATACTCAGGCAAAGGAAGCTGAAACCACAAAGTCCCTGGGGCCCAGTCTGGCCAAGGAGAAGTGAGGGTCCAAGGCTTGTCAAGAGCAGAAGGGTGGGGAAGGGGGGAGCAGCAAGCACATGAGCAAGGCAGTGCCAGTGCGGGGAGTCAGGAGGGGCACCAGGAAAAGCACGCAAGGGCACAGCGTAAGGACGGTCCCCTCCCCAGCTACCCACTGCCAACTGACCAGGGTGAGTATGATTAGGCCAGGTTTGGGGGTGGGAGGTCCCCAGCAACACACCTTTCCATAAAATATGCCGGGTCTGAGATGATCTTCCTTAGAGAGGTTCTGAGCTCCTCCGCCAGAGTTTCCGGGAAACTTGGAAGTACCTCCTATGGTAAGCGGGAAGAGGGGGGGAAGGGACAGTGACCAAAGATCTCTCTAACACCCCCCCCCCCACCTCTCATGGAAAGGGATGGGGACAGAAATCAGCCCACAGGGCTGAGACAGGTTACCCAAGGAAGGTCCTCACCAGAGGTACACTGTACGCATAATGGGTGACAGACCCAGCGGGTGCCCGGGGGTGCTGGCGCAGGTGCTTTGCCTCCTCCTGGCGCTCACGCATCATGCCCCCGCAGTCTGGGTACTTCTCCCGTGGGTCTGGCATCTGGGAGCCCGCCCGAAGGTTCTGTGGGGATCCAGATACATCCAGTTTGCCCTTGTCATGTGTATGTGTGTTGGTGCCCATACTGGGGCCTGGGCCCTGTTCCTTAGCTATTTTGCTCAAGGCTGGTGCTCTGTCCACCTGAGTCACACCTCGGCTGCTGGCTTTTTTGGTCATTAAGTGGAGATAAGAGTCTCACAGACTTTTCCTGCCTAGGCTGGCTTCAAAGTATGATCTTCAGATCTCAGCCCCCCTGAGTAGCGAGGGTTACAGGCATGAGCCACCAGTCTATATTCCATCCACCTTTGGCCTCCGGCCCAGGCTGTAGACCCCGTATGTGGCATGCAGGGTGATCCCTGACAGATGCCTGGGACCTGCCTTCCACTCCTGGGACCTCAGCTAAGCTGCCACTGCTAGGCTGTGGGTTGTGCAGAACGGAACAACACCCAGCTTCTGCCTGGAAGCTGCTGGTCTCTCAGGGGTCAGGCAGCTGTCCAGGTTTCTTGCTCAGGGCCAGGGGCCTCTTACCTCGGCCTGGAGCTGCACGTGGATTCCCTTCTCAGAGGCCAGCTGCTGCTGCAGCTTCTCAGTCTCAGCCCCGTACTGGAAGGATCCAGAACCCATAAGCCCTTTCCATGGTCTTCCTGCTATGCCACAGCTTCCTCACTCCCAGCTCTCCGCTTCCACCCCACCCCCATCCAGCCTTATTCCCACACATCTTTGGCAGCTCTTAAAGTCAGAGGTCACATAGAACAAGGGCCAATAAGGAGGGGAGCCAGGACGTCTGGCTCCTGGGTGAGTCTGGGATTCAGTCTGGGGTCCCCTCCGTGGTACAGTGAACAGGGAGGGGGTGGGGCTCTCTAGTATCCCTGCCAACTCTAGTGCATGCACAGAGAGGCTTCTGGTAGATCCCAGAGCTCCAAAGGGCACTTCAAAGAGAAGAAGGCTGAGCCCGGGGAGGGGGGGGTCCTACACCACCGCTCCGCTCACCGACTGGCAGCGCTGCTGCAGCTTTGTGATCTGGGCCTGCAGCTGGGTGATCTCCTTCTGCTGCCGCTCATAGTTCTCCAGCCGGAGCACCAGCACCTCGGACAGCTCGGCCATCTGCTGGCTGGCCTCGGCTACAGAGAGGGGATGCGGGTCAGCTCAGGCCCCCAACATATTTGTCTGCCCCTATCCGTTCAACTCCCATGGAGGGCCAGGGGGGCCCTGACTCAAGTCTTTTTTAAAAAAGTGCTTACTGCCACTGAGCAGGTCTCTGGCATATATGACTAAAAAGGCCTGGTCCCAGCCCACAGTGAGCTCCAGCCTAGTGAGTAGCCAGCTGGGGGTTCCATATGGTATAAGCTCCGGTGGAACCAATGTCAAGGGCATGTAGTGAAGTTAGGGGGAAGGTCTCAGCTGTGGCACACGAACGAACCCAGACTTGTTGGGTCTGGGAAGGATAATCCACTAAGCGAAGACCACAGGGTGAGGGAGGTTCCACCAGGCAAAAGAAATCACAAGCCCAAGCAAGGTATGGAACAGCCAAGGGGCAATCACTGGGCACTGGGAGGGTGGAGCCAAGACAGTGGTCAGGACCTGAATTGCAAAGGCCAATGGGGATTTTAGGCCTAGAAGGGCCTAGAAGGGCAGCAGTAAAGTCAAGGAGACTCTGGACAGAGGAGTCCTGTGCTGGAGGCAGCAGGAATGCGGAGGGAACTCTTGGGCCATTACTAGTTGGTAGGAGACACAGGACTTAGGGACTGGTTCTACTCCAGTCACTTGGGGGAGAAGTAGAACCAGGGGAAAGGAAGGTCAGGCTTGAGGTGGAGACAGCCTGGGCTCAGCTGTTGTGTCTTTGAGTGTGCATTTCAGCAGCTAGACTTCAGCTGGGCCAGTCATGGGGCCTCACACATCATAAGCACAGTGCCCAGATGCTACTGACCACAGCCCCCACCCAATGCATGACTCTGAACTGCCCAGCCATGGCCTTCAGCAGCTGCTCCTGGCTCCCTCTCTCCTGGTTCTCTCTCTCTGAGACAAATATTAAGCAGTCCTTTAGCTTGTATACAGCTTTCTGTATGTGTATGTGTGTGTGTGTGTGTGTGTGTGTACTGGGGCTTGAACTCAGGGCTTCATTCTCTCACTTAGCTTTTTTTTTTTTTTCCACTCAAGGACGGTGCTCTACCACTTGAGCCACACCCCTACTTCTAGCTTTGCTGGTTAATTGGAAATGACAGTCTCATGGACTTTCCTGCCTGGGCTAGCTTCCAACGGGGATCTTCAGATCTCAGCCTGCTGAGTAGCTGGGATTCCAGGAGTGCGCCACCAGCGCCTGGCTACTGCCCTTCTCTTTGCTTAAAGCTCTTCCTCAGCAGTAGCCACTTGATCCTCATAAACCTTGGAGAGCTCAGTGGGCTGGGATTATTCATTCCTACTCTAAAGATAAGGCCTCAGAGAGGCCGAGGAATGTGTCTAAGCTTGCACAGGGTGGGAAGCCCCAGGACCAGGATCTGAACCCAGGTTCTCGGAGACTCCTCGGGGCAGCCCCCTACCCCGAGTTACAACAGCACGTACAAAACTGCTCCACACATTCCAGAATGAGCATCTGCTCCTCGTCCTCCAGGGTGTCGAGATGCGAAGCCTAAAGGGAGGGAGAGAGGAAGGGGCAGGGCCATCACCATTCCCCGCCCTCGGGCTCACCCTCCTCCCTGTCCTCACCTCCTCTCTCAGCTGGTCATTCTCCTCCTCCAGCAGCCTCAGCTTGCGCTGCAGGACCTCCAGCTGCGGACAGTGGTGCAGAGACTCCTCCTGAGGAGCCCTGGGAAGGGAGCAATAGGAGTCAGGGTTTCTGGTTCCCAGAGCACTTTTAGGACTTCCCCGCCCCGGTGGAAGGGGGAGCTCTCAGGGAGTCCTGTCTGCAAACAAGTAAACTGAGTCTCAGAAAGGGACCACCCAGGTGCAAAGTTGAGACACGCACGGTTTGGAGACATCATAGGGATGGTCACAGGGCCGATCTTCCTCTCTTCCGAATTCCTCCTCCTCCTCTTCCTCCTCTTCTTCCTCCTCCTCCTCCTCTTCCTCCTCCTCTTCTTCCTCCTCTTCCTCATCTTCATCCTCATCATCTGAGTCCGAGTACAGCTGAAGGAGGTCATCTCGCAAGTTCACTTGGTGTCTGAGGTGTAAAATCTGTCAGGAGCGAAGAGGAAGTGAACAGGAGTGCACAGGCTCAGGAGCAGATTCTAGAAGGAGGAGGGGGTAAGGCTGTCCCCTTCCTCTCCCCCCCCCCCCCCAGCTACCTCCTCCCTGGCCGAGCCCAGCATGGCTTCCAGTTTGCTGTTTTCCTCCATCAAGACGCTGTTCTGTTTCACCAGAGACTGGCCGATGCGAGCCGCCGTACTCAGATCCCGCTCTTTCTGCAGAAAGAGTACATCCACAAGGGATACTTTCCCAGGCTAGCTGGAGACGCTAGGAGGTACCCCAGGGGGTCAGCAGGAAGCTAAGCCACCATTAGAACCCTCCCATTTCCCTCATCACATTCTCCAGATGCTACACTAGATCCACCACTAAACCCATTGTGGGTTTCATGCCTCAGTTCCCTTTCTAGAAGAAGAGCGCATCAGCCCATATTGGCCCTGAGAAGTACCTGCCTTTTAGAAGAAAAGGACCCGAATTAAAACAGGGACTGAGTAAGGCCGGGTGCCCAGCCTGAGCAGGCAGTACACACCTCCTCCAGCAAATAGAGCATCACTTTGATGTCATCTTGGGTGATCTTCTTGGTGGGAGGTGGGTTGGGACACAGAGCTGTAGGAGGAAAAGGCCAAGAGGTCAGGAAGAAGAGTTTGTGCTGCCCTCTGCCCATGGCTGGGGTGGGGAGATGGACCCTCTTCCGGGCTCCCAACATCATCCCCCTCAGCCCATTTTGCTGCCAGGACACACTGCACTGGGCTCCTCCCCCCACCCCCACCCCTGCCTCCCAGGGGAGGAGCCTGGGGGGAGTGGGGGAAGAGGATGCAGTGTAGGGATCACAGTCTACCAGGCCCAGGCTGGGCCTCAGGATGCCTGGTACCTAGGGGAAAAGCTAGCCGCGGGCCAACTCATCATCCTTCCTTTAACGCAGCGGGCAGGTGAGCCCAGCTCCCTAACAGAACAGACACTCCCCCTACACCTGTTGCTTGTGATGCAGCAGAGGGGCAAAGGAGGGGGTGGCCCGTGCTTAGATCCAATTCAAACATCGCTCCCACCCACCCCGCAACTCGGAGGAGGCTGGAAGAAGAGGGGGGGACCCCCCCTTCCCCCGAGGCCAGAGGCCCCGCCCCCTGCCCCTCCCCTCCGAGGGCCAGACCTAGACACCACCCCCGCCCCCGCCTCCCGCCGCTCCGGAGTGATCGAAGCCCCGCGCGCGCGCGCGCGCCCACCTCTCCGAGTAGAGCCCCGCGGACCAGCGCAGGCTCAGAGCGCGCCGGGCAGCGCCCTCCCGCAGCCCCCGCCCCTCGGCGGGGCCCCCGCCCCTCGGCGGGCACTGCGGTAGCCGGGGAGGGGGAGGCACGGAGCGTGCGCAGATCCGCCGCAGCAACAGGCGGGCGAAGCGGGCCGCGCGGGCTCGGGACCTGACGCACCGGGGCGCCAAGCGGGAGGAGGAGACGGAGGAGAAGTGGGTGTAGGGGGGGCGGGACCCAGACAGGCACCGCAGGCGCCGTCTGGGGGCTAGGAAGGGGGGCGGTGTGGAACTCAAGCTCCAGAAGGGGCGGGGTCCCCTCCCCTCCCCGCCTCTCTGACCCGCTCCGTGGTGCCGGAGCCTCAGTTTACCTTCCTGTAGCTCTCTAATGAAGGCGGCGCGTTCGGGGCCGGTGACCCCCGGCCGCCGGCCGATGTAGGCGGCTGGCGTCTTCCAGATGTCCGCCGCCTTTCCAGTCCCCAGGCCAGTGGCCCGGGGACCGTAAGGCCCCTGGAAGACGAAGCGTGTCCACGGCGCTTCCGAGTGGTCGAGCACCGACCGGCCCGAGGAGCGCGGGGCTCCGGTCTTGGATCCAGCCTGAGAGGCCGGGCGGGCTCCGGACTGCGCTCCCGGGGATGCTCGGGACCCGGCGGCCCGCGGTCCGGCCCCGGGGGCCTGCGCCGGGGCGGGCTCGGGCTCGGCCGAGGGCTCCGGCGCAGGACTGGCCGCAGTCGGGGGTGTCGGGGTGGCCGCGGCTGGGTCCCCGGGCCCAGGTCCGGACCCGGGCCCGTCCCCCGCGCAGCCCGGCACCTGCTCCTTCGGGCGCATCCTCCCTCCGCAGTCCGCTGCCGCAGCCGGGCTTTTATAGCCCGTGCGGGGAGCGTGCGCCCCCGGGCCGTACCATGTGTGCGGACGGGGGTGGCCGAGGAGCAACCGGTGGCGCCCGAAACTCCGGATCGCGGGTGAGCAGCCGCTCGGGGCCGGGGCGCGGGGAGGAAGGCGCAGCAGGCGGGAACGGACAGGGCCGGGCGCGTCGGGTTGGTTTGTGCACTGGGATTGGGGCCTGCGAGATCCCCCCCCCTTCCCAGCTCCAGAAAATGGATCTGTCCCCCCCCCCCCCAAACCCCAGGCTTCCCCAGGACTCGGAGACGGGGGACTCGAGGGTCCTCAGTGTTCCGGGCGCCTGGCTCCCGCCGCCCTGGCCTTCCACGGCCTTCCCTAGAGGGTCGCACCCAAGGTGGCACCTGGGGTCATGGGGGTCAGGGGTGACCTGTGATTTAAGGGTGGTACGTCGTGCGTGTCCGCTCCGATCGACGCTAACTCTCCCGACCGTCCCCCCCCCCCCACCGCAACATGTTGCTCAGCAGGGCGCGTTCACGCACACACCCGTCCCCCGCGTCCACATCCCATCCCCACCCCACCCCCATGTGCCCGCCCACGTCCTTCTTCCACCTTAACCTCCAACCCTCATTCTCTTAGCCCACCCCCGCCCCCCTGGCCATCCTGGCCGACACACCTGTTCTTTCCCGGGCAAGGGCCACTCGAATATCTGGGGGATGACAACTCCTAGACGCTCCCCCACCTCCATCCCCCCCCCCCACTCCCACCCCCAGAGCACCCGGAGCCTGTGGCCTGGCACTGATCAGCTCTAGATGTCTGTCTTCAAAACCAGACTTGCAACCCCTTCAGCGCCAGGACCGTTTTCCTCTCAGCTCAACACAAAACCAGATGTGTGTGTGTGTGTGAGAGAGAGAGAGAGAGAGAGAGAGAGAGAGAGAGAGAGAGAGGGAGTGGGGGAGAGGAAGAGGGAAAGGGAGAGACGGAGGGAGGGAGGAAAGAAGGGAGGGGGAGAGGAAAGGAGGGAGGGGAAGGAGAGGGAGAGGGGGAGGGAGAGGGAGTTGTCATACTGATTCTTTTCTAGCCTTCCATCGGTGTTGGTACCTCCATTTCCTTCTTCCTCAATATCTGATCAGTCCTCAATATTTCGTGTGTGTGTGTGTGTGTGTGTGTGTGTGTGTGTGTATGCTGGTAGTGGGGCTTGAATCCAAGGCCTGGGTGCTGTTCCTTAGCTTTTTTCACTCAGGGCTGGAGCTCTACCACTTGAGCTACAGTTCCACTTCTGGATTCACTAATTAATTAATTAATTTGTAGCTAATTGAAGATAAGAGTCTGCTGGACTCTCACACCCTCCCAGGCTGGCTTTAAGGTGCAATCCTCAGATCTCAGCCTCCTGAGTGGCCAGGATTCCAGGTATGAGCCACCTGCTTCTGGCTCCAATTTACCTTTTCAGTGCTTTTCCAGTGCTCGCCTGTTACTCAGCTCTTCTGCTTTTCGAGGAACAAAGTTCTCAGGTGTGATGATCACCCTCCCACAACCTCCCACAGCCCACCACCCTGCCACCCTGCCCACCCTCACCCAGAATCCAAGTGAATTAATACTGCCCTTGTCCATCCTTCTCAAACATACGTTGATCTAAGCTAAGGATTCCAGTGCTCCCCAACCCCAGGTACAAACCCTGAGTCTAACTCAGGACAGGACAGCAGACAGCGGTAACTAGTGCCCTTGGAAACAGGTTTCCATGTCATAGCCTGGAACAAAAGAAGTCAAGAAAAGCCAGGTGCTGAGGGCTCATGTCCATAAGCCTAGCAACACTCAGGAGGCAGAGATCTGATGATCTCCTTTCAAAGCCAGCCTGGGAGATAAGACTTGTATCTCCAATAAACTACTCAGAAAAATCTGGAAGCGGTGCTGTGGCTCAAGTGGTAGAATGCTAGTTTTGAGCAAAAGAAGCTCAGGAACAGTGAGCACCCCAGTACGCAGAAGAACTCAGGAAGAATGGAAACACCCCTTTCACCCGTCAGTCAGTAAGCTTTGGTATCAGAGTGCTTCCTTCTAACTCAGGTTCCTTCAGTCTTCAGTCTTTACTTACTAAGTGCCCACTGTGTATGCCAGACACTATGCCAGAGCTGGGCTAGAGCAGGGAACAAGAAAAATAGCCAAATAATAAATCAGATCCTGTTGAACCTGAAGCCGGCCCAACCCTGTACACTTACTTCCCTTCCTCTACTCTCCTTCCATCCAGACCCCAGAGGCTTTTTCTTTTCCCTCCTTCCCTCCCTCCTTCCCTTCCTCCTTTCTTTCCTTCCTCCCTTCCTTCCTTTTCTTTCTCATTCCTACTCTCCTTCCCCTCCATACATCCTTCCCTCCTCCCTCTTTACTATCCTGCCTTCTTCCCCTCCTTCCCTCCTTCCTTCCTTCCCTCCTTCCTTCCTTCTTCTCCCTCCCTCCTCTCGCTTTTTTTTTTTTTGAGTCCCCCCCCCCCCCCCCGTGTCAATGTACCTATCTCAGCCTCCCAAATACTGGGACTACAGGTATGTACCACTATACTTGACTGACCCAAGATACTTTTGCCAAGCTGTTGAGGATGGCTCAGGCCAGTCATTGGAGAAAAGATGTGAGGTGTAAGATACACCTCGCCTTTTATTATGGTGAGAATCTTTAGCAACCTTAAGATTTGTTGGCTTCTCGTCTTCTTTAATCTCAGTTCTTCTCATCTCCTAATTATCTTCCAATCTCTATTTACCAGGTATCGAGACAGGTGTTTGAAACACATCAATGGACAGTCAGATCAAGATCTCTGTCCTCTTGAGGCACATATGCCAGGGGAATCCACAAGCAATAAGAAAAGCAGAAAAGCACAGAGTGCTTTGGCTGTGACAAGTATATGCAGAACAGAGAAAGGTGCGGGACTGGGAAGCCCAGATTGAAATAGTCTGGTCATGAAAGATCTCACTGAGGAGGTATTTCTTGCTGGAACATGAGGGAGCAAAAGCAGATGTCCGTAGAAAGAGAGTGAGAAGTAATGGCAAAGGCAAAGACCTGAGGCCCCCGAAGGAGTCCAGGTGACTGGGGTGGAATGGGAAAAAAGGTATTGTAAGCCAGGATAGGAAGGTGGCAGCAGGGCCTGGTGTGTAGCACCTTACTTCAGTCAAGGAAAGGCTTAAGGTGATGGAATCTAGCTTTCTAAGTTTCAACAGGAAGGTTCTGACTGTTCTAAAAGTGGAGGATGATGGACAAAGGTAGAAGTAGGGTGGTCGTGACAGTATGCCACAACCACCAATGTATGCACAGCTGTCCCTCGGTATCTGCAAGGGACTGGTTCTAGGTCCCACCACAGGTATTGAAAGCCCCAGTTGCTCAATTCCCTTATTTAAAAGGATATAGTAGCCAGGTACCAATGGCTCATGCCTATAAACTTAGCTAGTCAGGAGGCTGAGATCTAAGGATCACAGTTCAAAGCCAACCTGGGCAGGAAAGTCAATGACACTCTTCTCTCCAATTAACCACCCCCCAAAAGCCAGAAGTGGAGCTGTGGCTCAAGTTCAGAGTGCCAGCCTTGACCAAAAAAAAGCTGAGGAATAGCACTCAGGGCCTGAGTTTAAGTCCTGGTACGGGCACTAAATAAATAAATTATATAAAATAAATATAAAATGAAGACATAAAAGGTATTGTATTTGCAACCAACTTCACCACATCCTCTTTGTATACTTCATGATTTATACTACTTTTTAAAAAAATTTTTAATTTTGACAGTTGTGGGGCTTGAACTCTAGGTCTGGGTTCTGTCTCTGAGCTTCTTTTTGCTCAACACTAGCACTCTACCACTTGAGCCACAGTGCCACTTCTAGCTTTTTCTGAGAAGTTTGTTAGAGATAAGCATCTTACAGACTTTTCCTGCTGGGGGTGGTTTCAAACTGCAACCCTCAGATCTCAGCCTCCTGAGTAGCTATGATTACAGGTATAAGCCACTGACACATGGCTATACCACTTAATATAACATAAATACTCCACAAATAATGGTTGCATTGTATTGTTTATTGAATAAATGCAAAGAAAAAAGTCTAATACTTAGTACAGACCAAATATTTTCCATTCCCAGTTGGTTGAATCAGTGAATGCAAACTGGATACAGAGGGTCTATGGTACATGATTTTGCATTGGCCTACCCTCTGCATACTTTTTTTTGTCCTGGGGCTTGAACTCAGGGCCTGGGCACTATCCCTGAGCCTCTTTGTGCTCAAGGCGATTGCTCTGCCACTTGAGCCAACTTCCAGCTTTTTTTTTTTTGACTAGTTTACTGGAGATAAGAGTCTCACAGAGATTTTTCTGCCCCAGTTGGTTTCAAACCGTGGTCTTCAGATCTCAGCCTCTGAGTATCTAGAATTGCAGACGTGAGCCATTGGTGCCCAGCTTCTGCATACATTTTTAGACATTTTGTATTATGTTCTGTCTTCCATCTTTGCCCATGTTTCTAAGTGATTAGAAACCTTGTTATTTTCAGAATAAGGTAAAAACATTCAATGAAATGCTTGGGTCTAAAAAAACCAAACCAACCAACCAAACAACAACAACAAAAACATTTGACCAGTTTTGACAAATGCTGGTGGCTCATGCCTGCCACCAATGGAAGACGCTGACTCTGGTGCTGTGTGCCTGTCATTCAAGCTGGAGTGGGAAGTGAAAAATAGAAGGATCATGGTTCAGGGGCACATCGAGGATGTAGGAGGTCGTGTGCCAAAAATAACTAGAACAAAAAAATGGCTGGTATAGTGGCTCTGTAGTATAGTACCTGCCTAGCAAATGCTAGTCCCTGGATACAAATTTAAAAAAAAAACAAAACAAAACTTGATGAAGGAAATGAAATGGAGAAGTGAAGTTGGTAAATCTTGCAGCCTCCCTCCCACATTACAGTCAGGGTCCCAGCATTCAGCAACTCCAAATTAAACCACCAGAGGGCAGTATCATCCTATATTAAGCCAACCCAGCTC